TAGGGATTCTACCTGAAAAGACGGCAAAGTTCTAGATGAGCCGCGGATTCCCAGGTGGAGCCTTGGGCAGGACCTCTGGTCGCTGTCCTCTAAGCCACTATCAGGGTGCTGCAGGACCACTGGAGTGTTCCTGGCTTGGCGACAGCTCCTCCGCAGAGGCTGACAGCTTCTCCTTGGACCCCTGGGTGGGGATTCAACGAAAGGGTCCTACACAGAGGCGGGGCAGTGCCCAAGTTGAGAGACCTTGGAAACTCCTGAGCCCATCCCGGTCATAAGGGACAGACATCCTCCCTGGGTCTGACCAACGGGAAACTGTGGCAGAGCCTTGCTGGCCTCCGCAGTCACTGGAGGGGGCACGATGTCCCAGCCTTTGGCTCTTGTCCACTTTCTGGGGATCTGGGAAAGTGGGAGGAAGCCCCCTGGGAGAGCAAATGACCATCTGGGATACAGGAAATATCATCCCAGATACGTGAGGGCACTCTTCCTCCCCGGCCCCCCGCCAGCCCACCCTTCACAGGGTGCCCCCAGAGCTGGTCTGCTTCGCCTTTCTGCGAGGAGTTGCGTACCCGCCCGTCCCCCACTCCGGCGCACCCACTGATCTCTGTAACGCTTCCACGTGGCCCCGCGTGGACAGGAGGAAGAGGTGGTCTCTGGCCTCTACCTTGGAGCAGAGTGTTGAGGGGCGGGGGTTTGAGGGGAGGAATCGACCCCTTCTGATGGCCAGAAAGCCTGGCTCTCATGAAGTGTGCCCCTGGGGGGCAGGAGGTTAGGGGGGCACTGGACATCTCCGCGGTGAAGGAAGTGAGTCAACCATGGGCCTTCTTCCCGCCCTGAATCTTAGGAACGTGTCCCTGGCACCGTATGGAATGAGATTGATGACATGCAGATATTTCGGATTCTGGACCTACAGGACTTTGAGAAAATGTTTTCGGCCTATCAGAGGCACCAGGTAAGACCCTGCCTCCTCCAGCCCCTTGGATCTTGACCTTTAGTCTTGACTTCACATTTGCCCCTTAAACCCAGTCCTCAGCCCCTCTGTCTCTCACCCTGGAGCACTGGAGGTGGAGTCCAGGGGCCTGGCCCTGGTGACTCTGCTTTTTCTTTGGCTGCAGGAGTTAGGGGCTATATCTAAAAGGCATTTTAACTTTCCAAACCGCTTTCTCCACTGTGCTCTCAACTCTCAACACCCCCAAGAGTGAAGTAGCAGAGGATACCAATGTTTCATGGTCATGTTAGGGGGCTGAGGCTAGACCGGGCCTGGGCAGGCTGGCAGAGGCCCCAGGCTTTGCTCTACAGATGCTGGGTACAGATGGCTGACGAGCGAGTGTCAGTAGGGGCAGCGGGGTCAGTGGCAGAACACAGGGCGCTCCCAAGTCAGGGATTTCAAACTATGCCGAGTACCTGTGGGATTGCCAAAAATGCAGATTCTGGTACCTTATCCTCAAACAAAAGTGAGTCAGGAACTGAACTGGGCCCAGGAATCTGCATGCAGCTGGTACATCTGGGGGCTGCCCCCCAAGCCCCCTTTGGCATCACCAGTCAAAGGCCTTGAGTTGTTTGCTTTCTCTCTGGCCTCTGAGGGGCTGCTTCCACTTGGGGTTGTGCTACTTTCTTCTGCGTTTTCTCTGCTGAGCCCGGGGTTCCAGCCCTGAGCACGTCCCCATGTGCCAATGAGTAGGGTCTGTGCCCTCCTGGGCACTGTGCAGCAGCTGCATGTGGTGACTGGGCTCCCCACTTTTTCTGCCAAGTCCAGGCCTGAGGCTGACCCTTCCTGAGGACAATGGGGGCTGAGGCAGGTGTCACTGCTCCTAAGGGACTAGCCAAAGGGCTGGGGTGGGGCAGGGCTCCAGCCTTGCTTTGGGTTTCTAGAAAACCAGATGGTTCTTTGTGTAATTGAAATGTGGGCGCTCGAGGCATCTGATTGCAGGCAGCATTTTCAACCCTAGACCATGTCAGGCTGCATGGCCACCAGCAGTGGCTGGAGGGCATCCTGAGCGCTTGGTGCTCCTGCGCATCAGTGCTCCGAGGGCCCCCGGATGGAGGGAGCGTTGCAAGGGGACTATCGGGTGTGGCCAGTCGCAGACCTCTATCTAGTCTGAGCATCTCCTCAGGGCCAGGGTTCTGGTCTGGCCCACCAGTCTCTGGGGCCCTGAGGCGGGCTGGGCTGGGGCCAGTAGGGAAAGAGGGGCTGTAGAGTCGAGGGCAGGCTGGGTCTGGGGCCTCCCCATCTGGTGAGTGAAGAGTTAAGACAGAAAGCCCCCTGTTCTGTGCCCCCTCACTGCTCTGAGCGCACTCTGCAGCACCCTGTCATTCCGTGGGCGCCTAGACTTGGGGTTGAGTTCACAGCAGCACAGCCGGATGGATCTGANCCTGTCATTCCGTGGGCGCCTAGACTTGGGGTTGAGTTCACAGCAGCAGAGCCGGATGGATCTGGGCCATGTTGCCCTGGTCGCCTCCTCTTGCTGTGTTGGGACCTGGATGGTTGTGGGCGGGGGAGGTCCTATGTGCTCTGGGTCTTCCCTCTCTGTCCCACATAAGTCCTGACTTAGTGATTTCAGCTCCATCAGGGTCAGGAAGGGAGAACCAGGGGCAAGCTCCACCTCCCCACGTCCCCTTAGAGATTCAAAGGCAGGCGAGGGGCAAGGGACACGGAGCAAAATTCAGGGACACCTGCTTCCCTCTGTCTCAAGGAAGCATCTTCCACATGGTCCAGCTCAGGTTCGGTGTGTTTCCTCCCCTATTTAGAAAGTTTAACTCATGGGTGGAGAAATCCCAGCAGAGGAGAGGGAAGCTTGGGGTGGGGAGCTCGGGCAGGGTCTGCCCTCTCTGGGGAGTGCTGGGTGGTCCACTGCACCCGGGGCCTGTAGCAGCCTGTCCTCCGCTGTGTTTGGCTTGTGGGTGCATGCCTGCTAGAAGCTGCTCCTGTACATGCTTCTCCAGCCAGGGGGTCTCGATGGGATGGAGCAGAGTAGAAGATGAGAGGTTCCCGTGTCTCTTTTCCTGTCCCTGGGTCCCTGTACCTCTCGGCTAACGTTGTGCATGTTTAATTCTCTGTTGACTGTGGCTGCTGCCTGCCTAGGAGCTGATAACTAATACCTCCCAACAGGTGAGTCACTCACGGGGCTCTGGACCCTCCAACTTTTAACCACTACCTTGGGCTGCTGCCCTGTACTGGGCCCCCAAATGAGCAGGCCCGTCCATTCTACCTTTTACCTTATTACCCATCCATACAGGACGGCACGGAGGAGGGGCCCCACAGACAAAGCCAAAGTGTAGGTGAGGGGGTAGTGCTAACGGACCCTGCCGCAGTGGAGGGGGAAGCGTGCCGGAGTAAGGAGGAGGCTTCTGGGCTCTTGTCTTACCCAAGGGAAGGGCCCAGCGCCTGGCCGTCCTGTGAGAGTGAGCAGGCCAGGCGCAGCTCACGGGGGCAGCGATGTGAGTGGCGACCCTGCAGTGTGCAGCACGGAGCACGGACATGCAGGGAGCTCCCAGAGTGGGAGCTGGCCTACTGTCTGCTCACCGGGGGCCCCAGAGAAGGGAGAGGGATCTGATTTCTTAGGAATATGCCTGCTAGAACCTCAGAGGAGAGATTCTACAGGGAATTCTGCCTCAGTTTCCCCACCTCTGAACATGTGGATGCCCTCTTCCCAGGGGATATTGGGCTGAGTCTGAAGTCTCCAGGGCCCCGGGAACTGTGACCTTCTGGGGACTTAGAACCAGCTTCTTATAAGTTTGGGGAGGCTGTCTGGGTGGGGCAGTGGGTTGATTTTCCAGGGATGTGTAAATCCTATCACATGGCCTGAAGCCATAGGGATCAATGACTCCCCTCCATTGGAACTGCTCCTCTCTAGTTTGCACAGAGAAGGCAGTCTCTAAAAAAGGGGTTCCTCATTGCCCCC